TTGAAATGGCGTTTCATGTTATCAGCCTTACAGACTGCCACAGTCTGCGTGCATAACAAACACGTTGGCTTTGCGTTGTGGTGATCAGGCAAAATAAAACAAAATTGTTCAGTCCATTAGCATTTGAATCGCCTATTTTCTGTGTCAACCTTTCTTTTCTTCACACTCGCCATGTTTTCACTGTCAGACTAAGCTGTCAATGATGCTGCGTTTGAATTTTCGCGCCAGTGACATGCTTACGCTGACGTTACCTTGACAGCACTATTTGAAATTAGTGCGGGCCAAATATTTTTCTCTTGCGGGCCGCCTATTGAGGAACCCTGACGTATGAGGTCGGCTTTGCGCATGCGCCGCTCAGAAGTGACGAACGCGGAAGCACAGGGGAGAGATCAAAACAAAACAATGGTCACTAATTAGAAGTACAAAACAAGGATTTGTAAAGAAGAATGTCGGAGGATTTCGATATAAGCCAAGAGGAGACTGGTTTTCCTTTGCTAAAGTAAGGAAACTTTGCTTCCTTTGATCCTGTAAACAAACGTTGGTAGACTCACCGGCGCATGCGCAACGCTTACCTCATAAAAACACAGCCTAATTTTCATTTTTGGGTGAACTAACCATTTAAATGTAGGGTAGGCGATTTCTGAAAGGCTAGCGATAGCAAGCTAACTTTGAAAGCAAGATCCCACCCTCCCTGTGTAATCACACTGCAAAGCCACGCCTCCAAAACACGAATGCACTTTTGATTGAACGAACATTTTATGGTCCTATGGCTTCGACAGACGATATAAATACATTTAAATCAATTCTAATAATAAATTCTAAATGCAAATTCTAAACTTTAGTGACGATGCGACACTGCCTCGACTGTGCAAGTGACAATTCCTGGGTCAACTGTGCAGCTCGCTTTTAGTGCAGACGCGATGTGCTGATTTGAAATGTTTGCGCATTTTGAGAAGGAAAGAGAGAGCGTGCGGTGATTTACTCACACTGTTTGTGAAATTATGTCTCACAGAAAGTTTTCAAATTACTTTGTAAGTTATTTAATGAAGAAATATGAATTGTACTAGAGCTGCACGATTCTGCATAAATTGAGAATCATGATTTTTTTTTTTGTCAGAGATCACGATTCTCTAAACTAAACTAAATAATGTGTGTCAAAATATTAATTGCTGCAGTCTATTAAAAGTGTTTAATTAATTTGAATGAATTATTAAACATTTTAATGTATAATGTATTTAAAATATAATATATTTAATACACCAATTTTTAATATTAAAATTATGAAAAAGCGGTTCGAACTCATAAATACTTCACTTGTTTCATTACTGAATGAATCAGGGTTTGTTAATGAATTTCATGAATGAATGATTCAATGATAGATACATTTTTTAACAGTCACTTGATGCCACCTAGTGGAAGAATACAATTGACACAAACGTTATTTGAAGCGTCAATTTCTTTTAAATGGTGACTTGCTCTATTTTGATCGCTAGACATCAGTGTTTATAACTATAAACTTGCATCCCAGTATGTCTGTGATAGCATGAATGACTGTAAGACAGAAATAATACTGTGTAGTTGAAAAGACTGTTTGTGAAGCTGTTTCTTACCCAAACATGTCTGCTTTCTGTGTCAGCGGCAGCGTGAACGCAGATTTGAATGATCTGGTAATACTTTTTTTTAAGGTTTAATAGACAGCGAATAGTTGTCATTTCAAGTTCAAGTTCAGTTTATTTAAAAAGCACATTTAAAAATGACCACAGGCCGACCAAAGCGCTGTACAAGTTAGAAAAAAAAAAAAAAAAGTACACTAATAGCAGCAAAACAGTTAAAACAGAACACTCTTATAAACTAAAAGCAACAGAGAATAAATACGTTTTGAGACATGACTTGAACTCAGACAAAGTGGAAGCCGATCTGATATAGAGTGGGAGCTTGTTCCACAGTGTCGGGCCGGCCACTTCAAAGGCTCGGTTACCCCTCGATTTTAGCCTGATTTTGGGTATCTGAAGGAGGAGTTTATCTTTGGACCTAAGGCCTCTGGTGGGAAAGTAGGGGTGAAGTAGATTGGACAAATAAGAAGGTGCTGAGAAAAAAGGACAGGAGCTAAAACAGAGCCTTGAGGCACACCACATGATAGATTGCAAAGAGAAGCAGAGAAACGTCCTATTTTTACAGAGAAATGTCTATTGGTTAAAAAAAGATTTAAACCAACTTAAAACAGCCCCCCCTAGCCCAACGCAATACTCCAGACAAGAGATAAGGATTGCATGATCGACGGTATCAAAAGCAGAGGACAGGTCTAACATTACTAAAATGACAGAGTCCCCCGAATCTGTTGCCATATAAATATCATTAAGAACTTTCACGAGAGCGGTTTCTGTGCTGTGCAGTGATTTAAACCCCGACTGAAACTTCTCAAGAATATGATTGTCAGTCAGGAAGGTCTGGAGCTGTAAAAACAATTTTTTCCAATATCTTGGAAATAAATGGCAAAATGGAGATCGGACGAAAATTTGATGAAATAGAGGCATCAAGTGAGGGTTTCTTTAGTACAGGTGTAACCGTGGCAATTTTCTAACTAGAAGGTACAGCTCCTTCAAGCAAAGATTTGTTAAATTTAACACCAGCCCAGGGCCGACAGTGTCAAATATTTGTCTCAAATAGTAAGGATGTATAGTGCCATGCGAACTAAAGGAGGGTTTAAGTTTAAGCATTACTTCCTTTACAGAATGTAGAGAGACAGGATTGAAAGAAGTCCACAGGACAGGTGAAGTCATCTCTGTTGGTATTTCCTGATCGGAGACCAGAAACCGGGCCCTCAGACTTGAAGCTTTATTGCCAAAATAACTAGAGAAATCCTCACAAAGTGCCAAAGACGGGTAGTGAAGAGAATTTACAGGGGGGTTTAGAACGGAGTTGATAACAGAAAAAAGAGCTTTTGGGGTGTGGTGATGTTTCTCAATTAGTTTAGAAAAATAGGAAGCCTTGGCTTTCTTAACAGCATACTGATATGACGATAGGCAATTCTTTAAGATCTCATAAGAAATCTGTAATTTGTCCTTTTTCCACTTCATTTCTGCTTTTCTGCATGCCTGACTCAAGGAACGAATACTATGATCAACCCATGGCTCCGATTTAGATGTAGATTTTGGCTTAAAGAGCTTAAAAGGAGCTGTAAGGTTCAAAATATCTGTCCATGCAGTATTTAAAAAAATAAAATGATTTTCAGCATCAAGATCAGATAATAAAGACTCTAATGATAAAAGAGGGTTGACCTCATTATAGAGCTTGACAAAATCCTCACAAAAATGAGACAAATATTCACGGGCTTGTGTACCATCAGAGGCAGGTTTAAGAGAAGGCAGTAGGGCAGAGGGACAATTTAAATAAAACAGGAAAATGATCAGAGATGACAGAAACAACGACTTCAACATCAGTTACAGATAGACCATGTGACAAAATTAGGTCCAAAATGTGTCCATGAGTATGTGTAGGATGATTAACCCACTGCAGCAGGTTAAAAGAGTCAATGATGTTTAAAAAATCAGGAGTTAGCTGCTTAGAGGGGCAACATACATGGACATTAAAGTCACCTAAAATAAGGATGCGATCGTGTTTAGTGATCAAATCTCCAACAAACTCTGAAAACTCTACTATGAAGTCTTTGATTAGATGTGGTGACCGATAGATCAGAGCTAAGACCACAGGTTCAGACCAGTTCAGAAGTAAAATCTCAGCTTCAAAACTCGTGAAGGTGGCGGAAGATAACAGTCGGCATCGAGGTCTGAAAGAATCTTTAGCAATGATAGCTAGCCCGCCGCCTCTGCCTGATGATCGCGGAGCGTTGTAAAAGTGATAGTTGGCTGGAAAGTTCAGAATATGGACTGAGTTCCCCTACCTTCACCCAGGTCTCGGTGATAAACAGAAAATCCAGGTCGTGAGCAGTGGTAAAATCGTTCAGGATGTGTCTTGTTCACCAGAGAGCGAGCGTTTATCAGCGCAATTTTTGGGGAGCGTAGAATGGTGCGCGTAGCAGATGCTTTGCTCAGAGGACAGAGGTTGGCAGTATTTGCGCCCTCACGGCGCGGCCGGATAATAATCCGAGAGTGGAGATATTCCGCTTGAGCCAAAGAGACAGGAGAAGCAGGAGCAGAGGCAGGGGGGTCCGTCGCGATTGACCTGAGGTTTTAGTTCCTGTCATAGTACTGAGACTGCCCTTGTCAAGATTTCTAATGATTTATTGGTAGTGGCTGACTCAGGACTTTTATCTATCTTAATTATTTTTGATCTAACTTCAGCGTTCGACAACATTTCCCATAAAATTATATTAGCTAGATTGACCAGCAGTATCTGTACTTTCACTCAAGTAATGGAGTTGAGTACTTTGTCCGCCTCTGCCTCCACCCAGCCCTCATAACAAGGAGCACTGCTATTATGGTCCATGCTCTTGTCACTTCACGAATTGACTATTGTAATGCTAATTTTTTACGGTCTTCCTGCTAAACTTTTGCACAAGTTACAGTTAGTGCAGAACTCAGTCGCACGAATAATTACACAAACTCCTACTATGGAACACATATCTCCTGTTCTTCAACAACTGTACTGGCTTCCTGTTAAACAGCGTTTTGAATTCAAAATTTTGCTTATTGTTTATACGGCATTACATAACTTGGCTCCTTCTTACTTATCGGACTTACTCCTAACATACACTCTCTTGAACTCTTAGATCATTGTCTACATTATCTTTAGTTCTTCCTCGTACACATCTGGTTTCCATGGGTACTCTGGCCTTTAGCTATGCTGCTCCTTATCAGTGGAATTTACTTCCACAAGATATTCATAACAGTGACTCTCTTTCCATTTTCATTTTTCCATCTTCGACTGGCTGAACTTCAGTGTGTCTGATAGAAATGAGCTTGACCTTTGCAGTGTCTCTGCAGTGAGAGTCAGTGATGAGTTCTGGCCATTGACCGCGTCTCTGTGTGTGTGTGTGTCAGGAGCGCGGGAGGGTCGGCGTGATCTTTAACGTGGGGACGGACGACATCGTCATCGAGGAGAGCGGCGTGATGGTCAGCGACGGGAAGTATCATGTGGTCAGATTCACACGGAGCGGCGGGAACGCCACACTACAGGTGGACAATCTGCCCGTGCTGGAGCGCTTCCCTTCAGGTGAGACACACACACATACTCACATAACACACTCACACACTCACACACGCGTGATCACGGTCATGACAGACAGACACGTGTCTCTCTGTCTCTCTCTGAGGAAGACGTTTTCTGTGCTAAATCACCATCTTAATCTGTGTTAATGATTCAAGATGTCACACCAAACCTGTTTTGTTTATTGACACTTATTCCTGGTTAAATCAGATTTACCTGTCCGAAAGCTTTGATTCAGTGTGATTTTTTTTACTTGTATTTATTTATTTGTTTGTTTGTTTCCCACAACAGCAGTTTATATTCATTGTGTTGTTTTTTTTAAGTTGTATCTTATTTTTTTATCATTTCTTTTTTTATATATAATCATGATTGTTGTTTATTTTTTGTTTATTTTAATTCTTTTATTAATTTATTATTATTACATTTTTTTTTAAATATTTGATTCCAGTGGACCATTAATCACATTAAACTCACACAGCAAAAAAATTACTTTCTGTCTTGTTTTCAGTATAATTCTTAAATCAAGATAGATACATTTACTGGAAAAGAAAATTACTTAAAGGACTTGTTTTCTGATTTTTTTTTTTTTTTTTTTTTTACTTTTATAGTTTAAAAAATAAGCACATTTACTAAATGTTAAAAGAAAAAAAAAATGCCAGAGGGGTCAGAAAATAATATTGTTTTTCTTTTGAATTAGGATATTTTTTAAACAATAAACTTAATTTTGTTCTTTTTTTTTTCCCAGAGAATAAGATTTATTGTTTTAAGTCATTTTGCACCTCAAGTACTGGAAAACAAGACAGAAATGTGTGTGTGTGTGTGTGTGTGTGTGTGTGTGTGTGTGTGTGTGTGTGTGTGAGTGAGTGAGTGAGTGAGTGTGTGTGTGTGAGTGTGTGT